GCCTGTGTCTGTCAATTTGAGCTTTGTGGGTTGATGTCAGCACAAAAAGAACGATGTCCAGGATCAGCCAGAGATAGTACCTTAGTGACAGGGGGTGGAAGCTGACGACAATCTTGGTATAGTGATCAAGGCATTGACGAGTGAAGTCAAGAGAAATGACTGCTGTATACTCCCATAGCTTAGCCACAAGAGTGCTCTCATGAAACACCGGTTATAGAGCATCCCGAGACAACATGACGTGGACGCATTTCCCTACCATTATCGGTATTGCGCAGGAGCTACCTTACTTCAGTCCAACGCTACTCCCCCGCTGGCCCTGCTAAAAAGTGTACAACCCCTGGAACATATGCCACATGATGAAAGATATCAGGCGGTCTTGCATAAATACAATTCGTCAAATTATATAAGATAGAACAGGATTGAGAGCCCCCGATAGCTGATTTACATGGTTGATGGAGCCAATCGAGCAACCATTTGGAACTCTCCTGAATCTGTGGACACATATCTTTCCTCATCATTTCTCATCTTTCTCATTCTCAACAATCTTCTTCTCCCCAGAATTGACGCTCTCAAAGTCTTCCTTGTACGTCATGAATACATCGTCGTTGAGATGACGGTGTCTGAACCAGAAGACGATGGTCTGAACAAAGAGGGCGATACCAGGGGCAGCCCAAGCCCAAATGAGGGTTGGATCCGCGATAGACGGAAGGAGAATTTGTCCCAAGGCACTGCTCAAGGCTGTCATGAAGAGGAACAAAGCAACGACGGTCGATCTCATGTGCTCCGGGGCGCGAGCATAAGCCAACTCGTAGGCTGTGACATTGATGAAGATCTCGGACATCGCACCGAGTGCGACATTAGGAATTTGCCACCAGATCGAGAGAGGAGAGACGTCGTCGCAGTCGCTGGCAGCGTAGCCACTTCAAAGAATATTAGCATTCCACCTCAGGTGTCAGGTCAATCGGTAGGAAAACTTACCAAGGGCTCGTCTCATAGACACGCCATTGTACCAATGCACCAATGAGAGAAGAAATGATGGCCAAAACGAACCCCACCGTCATTCTGCTGATACGGCCAAACTTGATGTTCCTACGCTCGAGGAAGGGGTAGACGACGTTGGCCATGAAGGGTGAGAAGACGATGATGACCAAGGGGTTGAAGTGACTAAGCAAGTCGTTGGGTGCGCCGTCGGATGTCATTGCCGCACCTTGGTTGCTCTGGACGTTTCCAACACCGCCATCGTTCAAGTACCAAATTGGGATGTACAGGAAGATCTGAACAGCTTGCCATGTGCGGCGGGCATCGTCAACATCCTTCTCAGAGTAGCCGACATGGACTCCCCGTTCGGCAAGGGCGGTAGGGCGGACGTTCTGCCACACATTCTTGGAGAAGATGTTTCCCTTGCTCGCCTTGATTGCGGAGACTGTGATCTTAACGAAGCGGTTCAAGTCGGAACCCTGAGGTGCGACTCTGACTGTGCGCTTGTACGTGGCGGCAAGCAAAAGCGGAAGCAGGAAGTAGACGATACCAGGAACGAGGTATGCCAACCAGAAACTGTGGTACTTCTCGATGTAGACGACGGCGATGGAGAAGAAGGCGCCAACGTTGATGAAGGCGTAGAAGATCAGCATGATGTGGTTGACGGTAGTCTCAGGGTCGACGATGACCTTCTCTCCCGACTTGAGCACCTTGGTGTACTCGCGCTGGTGCTTGTACTGGTCGATGACAGTCGGTGCAACATTGGGCTTGAAGATACCGGCTCCGATGGCAAGGAGAAAATAGCTGATAAGAAACGGGGCAACACCTTTGCCGGCTTGCAGGATTGATGGAGCAGCACCTCCGACCATGATAACATGGGCAACACCTCCGATACCAACACCCCATGCGATGGCTTTGTAACGACCGATTTTGACGTCTGCAATCCACGCACCAAAGATGGGAATGACGTAGGCTAGGAAGGTGAAGAGGAGACCCAAGGCAGAGGCTGTCTGCAGTCCCAGACCAAGAGCGCCGGCATGGGAATTGGGCTTGGACTTGTCGATAGCACCGGTGCCAGGACCTCCTTCGGGGAGAGGAAACTGGAGGTAGTTGTTGAATGCGGCCTTAACACCATAGTATGATGCTCTCTCGGCCATTTCTACCACGCAAAGAGACCATGATGTGATAGGAATGGAGTCTGCAACTTTGCGAAGCGTCGACCGCTCCTCAGCAGTCGGAGCCGGGTAGGCCTCATCATCGATGACAGAGTGTGTCTGATCGAGGGAGTTGCTTTGGGACTCTATGTCGAGGGCACTGACTTGTTGAGCCTTCTCGGGGTGTACGCCTTGGTCGGAGTCGGGCTCGACGACCTTGTGCACGTTGAGACCAATAACATTCTCAGCTGCAGACATGTAAGCGAACTAGACGTACGTCAAACATGTGCTAAAGAACTTACCCATGGTGACCAACTTCGCTCTGTATAACTTGACGGCGTAGGTTAAGAGACTGAAGGAAGAGAAGGTGAAGAGGCCCGGGAACATGAGTTTTGACCTACCTCGCACCTACTGATATGTTATCTGCTAGCCCCCGGAACGTTGCATCCAGAGATAGATCTCCAGACCAGTTGGCAGGAGGGCTCCATCGAACTATCCTGTTCAGGAACCATAGGCCTGCCCAGAAGGCCAAGGCGGGGCCAAGATTGATCGCGAGCTTGTGGAAGCTTGTTGCGACATTGGCACATTGCCATTGACCCCATGCATATCCTAGTCCCGGCAAGTGGGTGGCTAGCTCCCGTCTGGGCACTGGATAACGTCTTTTTTCATTCTAAGGCTGAAAAGGCAACGAAATCTTTTACAACTTGTAAGAAGTCTATAGAACTTTTCGCATTCTTTTGTATCTAGGAGCATCCAAATGCCGCTTATCTTTGATGTTTGGGGAACTTCAAGAGCGGAACGTAACCATGATTGCTGCCCACTTCCCCGGCCAGCGGGACCCCATGTCCACAACAGATATGGAGGCGGGCCGATATCAACACCCTTATCGGTCTTTTGTCCGCCGGCATTCCATGACGGGAGCCTACGACGTCGATTGCGTGATTGCGAGAGTGGGGGATTTTGTCGTTACACATCCAACAAGAGCAGAGATGTCCCCGAACCACGAAATTGGATGTGCTTGTCCCCTTACCGTAGTTGGCCGCCGGACGGGACGACCGAAAGCTTATTAGTGTTTGGGACCGGCGCAACCTCAGTCGGGCGAGGTGTTGTGAAAAACTAGAAATGTCGCCATAATCCACCCAACTTCAATCCCAGCTCGAGTTGCGTAACAAATAGACCAATATGGCCTATGAGAATGGCATCATTGTCATCTTGCCGAGGCATGCGTGAGTATTTGTATCCTTCGCCGCCCCCTTTTCTTGTTTAAGATGTCTCGGCGGCCAAGCCGTGACGAGTCATTCGTGAGTGAGAGAGAGATGCGGCGAGAGCGCCCGAACAGGCACAAGAGATATCATTTTTTGAAGTTCTTGTGGTTTTCTGGCGTTGTTGACTGTGTAATTCTCGCGCAATCTTTAAGGTTTGCGATGCTTGGCGGTGGGAAATCTGGTTGAGCATTCTCCACATTCGACAAGCACTGGAGGCACGTTCCAACTTTCAAGCCCACCGTGAAAGCACGCCATCCATTGTAGCGAGTGTCGAGTTAGACTGTGCGGTTTCCTCTCTCTTCCAGTATAAGAAGGACGTGGATGGTCCAAGATTTCTCCTCGAACCAAGAGTTCTTCAACGTAGGTATGCTGGGACGTGATGCTTACGAATTTCAGTAAAACTCACGAATAAGGCTTTGGTAGTTTTCGACGCACATCCCGTTGCTAAAAGCAGAAGACACTGCTTTTCCGGAAACATTGTCCATTGACGGGCATCCTAGAGGCTGGGTCAATGAAGCTTCTCATATCCATCTATCTCATGTGTCTACGCAGATATCTCAGCGCAAATGGTCTTCGATTGATCTCAAACAGCTCTGAGTGATGTCATAGCAATGTAGTCAAGCCATCGTAGTTATTTCTGGTCGAAAAGAACAAAAAATGCTTCATCATTACAACACCGCTCTATTTGTCAAACGAATCACGTATCTTCACGTTTCTCAAGCTGATACATCTTGAGAGAACCATATCAAAGCATGCAGGCCCCCGCGATTACTGACCAGTCTCAGGATCTTTGTACTTGAACTTGCGCGGAACGATTCAAATGGGCATGTTGTGATTGGTGACCACTAAGATCAAGCCCTGTTTAACATCCTGACTCTCCTTGCTTCTAGTAAGCTGCAGCCGGCAACTAAGACCGAAACTAACAAGGAATCAACTGAGCTGAAATGTGGAAATGTGGAGATGTGATCGAGTATTCTCGTCGAGTGTATGTTCCAGCTGGCATGGAAGTATTCCAAACATAGTCGTAATCTACCTACTACAACTCTAGGTTTTGTTTCTCTCGCTTTCGAAGGTAGTGGAAGCCTATGTGTTATTCCATTCGACTACCCGATGCCATCCCTGACGGCCCTGGGGTAGTCAACGTGAAATGTTGTAGAGTGCCTTTCTCCCGCTAGATGAAGTGTCTCAATGAGCTGCAACACCTATCAAGGTCAAAGAACCCCAATCAGCTGTTTTCTGAAGCCAAAATCCAAGAAATTACTTTTCGCCCCAGCGCGACCCCTCAGGTTCGTACAACTCGATCGTTTTGACCGTGAATTTAACGTCAGGTACATATCAGCGCGGGGTAGCAACTTCAGATTAAGCCTCGAGGGAACATTAGCTGAACGTTGGGCTCTCATGGCCAAACAGATTCATGATCCAACATGGGATTTGTCATTTGTGAGACATACTTCCAGTTGTAACTTTTCTCGTTCGTTTCCACATGATTCCGAGGCAATACACCAATCAATCAACTTTTTTAAGCCGAGATACAGGTTCATGAATCCTCTATCCACTTTCTGATTCTTGGTGGTCTTCTCGTCAATTTCCACTGCCGAAAACCATGGCACCAAAGAAGAAAGCAGATCAATCCGAGAAATCGAGGCAAGGCAAGAAGTCGGAGCCGCCTAAGAAAGTGGACCAACCCAAGAAAACAGAACAATGTAAGAAGAAGGCGCAGCCCAAAATACCGGAGCAGCTCAAGAAATTGGAACCATGCAAGAAATCGGGGCAATCTAAGAGCCCGGGGCAACCTAAGATACCAGAACAGCCTGAGAAATCAAAGCACCTTAAGGAGTCGGAACAGTCTACGAAACCAGAACAGAAGCTGAAGAACCCAGAGCAGGAAAAGCCAAAAGAGGTGAAGAAATCAGAACAGGCTGTGGACCAGCTTGGTCCACAGACTGCGTCATGCCAAGCCCTCATTCGCACAGCCTGTCCTCAATATCTCACGTCTGAGGAATTCGAGCAGATAATCATACAGTTCAAAAGTTGCCCATGGCAGGAGAATAAGCAGGTGTTATGGAGCGGGTTGATGAAGGATCAGGTTCAAGAATGGGCAGCTCGACGAGGGATGCAGACGCTCACCACCGCCATGGGACCATTGATGGACTCGAACAATCCCCTATGCTTGCGACAAACGAAAAGCTCCTGCGCGTGGTCAAAGTATATCAAAGGCGCTTCTCTTGTCTTTGCATGGCGTATTTCTCAAGGCTCATACACTACTGTCCTGACTCCCCCACCGCCAGAACGGTTTCATCCAGACGGTCTGACCAACTGGCAAGACATAGAAGAGCCCGTCCTGAAGGGTCGTCTAGGCACTCCGACGTCATGTGCAATCTTGCTAGTTCATCCAGCTGTCCAAGAAGCTCAAAACTTCCGCTACCAGGTATGGCCGGTAGACTACACAGATGAATGGCTTAAGAGATTCAAGGTCAATCAAGCCTCGATTCGCACCTGGAGAACTATATCTAAATTAAGAGGTCAGTTCCTGTACTACTAAGTATCTAGAAGTTACATGATGGCTGATCAAAGTACAGCCCACACATCATGGATGGTCCCTACTGACGAGCCACTCCAGTCAGCGGATACGATCAAGTTGAGCAACACGTGCAAACCCAATGCCGTACCACTAGCCAACACAGCTTCGAGGGATGATAATGCCTCCGCAGATCCAAGATATCTTCTACAAAGTCAAATAAAAATGCCTGAAAGTGGATTGAGTGGAGAGAAGAGACTAGCTACGCCACAAGTCACCAAAGCTTCAGGCACTACGATGCCTCCTCCCAGCCCGACACCATCTCTACAAAGCCAACAGAGCAGACGTCGAGTTGGAGTTGATGCAGTAACTCAGACTATCCAAGTCTCATTCCCTGGGTCACAAATCGTCAACATCTCAAGCGATGAGGCCCTACCCCCTGCTCCAGGAGGCCAGCCGCAAAGCCAAAAGGGCATGGGTCAGACTGAAGCAGGTACAGAGACGAGCCCGGCCGTACCCAAGGTCAGTTAGATCTCAACTGGTGTGATCATTTTCCAAGACAGACCTGATACTCTACAGAGTCTTCCGAATATTTCTCGAGCTCGCGCGAATCAAGAGGCGATTCAACTCAGTAGACCCGGAGAACCTGCAACGGGCCCATCGTCTGCTGCGTCCATTACAGAAGCTCCATCAGCTTTCTTGGTGTGTCTGTATTTGGCAATTATCGAGATTATTTCATCGTTGCTGCTGCTTATGATAGGAACTGCCGTACATCTTGGTTTCATGCCATGGAACGGGGCCAAGATGAGTGAAATCAAGACACCATGTCCCTCTACTTATGGCGGCTCGGCTTCTCAACCAACACCAGTGGATTCAAAGGCTGCTAAGAAAGCTGCTAAGAAAGCTGTCAAGAAAGCACGAAAACAGTTCATCGAAGAACAGGCTCTGAGAAAAGCTCAAGAGGCACCGGAGTCTGGCATGGCCAGTGAGAGGTTATTCCACAAAGACAGACTAGTGGACGAACCTCGGGCAGCCTGCGTTGATACCTCCAGCACCTTGAGCAGCTATCCAGCGCCGACAATCACGAAATCTGGAATAGATTTCGCAAGCTACGGTCTGCCTAGGTACAAGAAGAAGAAAAAGAAGACGGCGGTGGTTGCGAGTCTCACTGCGGAAGATGTCCAAGTCACCGTGTCCTCACAACCTACACGGGAATATGCATACAGCTGCCTCGGACCATTCGACCCCAGCGCTCTGAGGAAATCCTACTGGGTAGACTGAGAAAGAGTTTTTGATTCAGCTGATCACTAAGTAGTTGCTTATCGAGGGTTCCAGACTGTGAAAACTGAGATGATCAGGGCTTTGCATGTAAATGTTTTGTGTCACAGAATGCGAAGATGTTCGATGACTTGGAGTTTTTGCTTTGCGAGCGTCTCCTATTCAGTTATTATCCAGTCAGTATCACTATGGATTAGGAAGGATGCGGTAAAATCTTCTCTCATTACCCAGCGGCATTATCTCGACTGCCCTTCTCACAAAACATGACGATATAGGGTTTGTGATTCTACGGAACGTGAAGGCCATGTTGTTGTGATGAAGACAAGGCAAAGTAAACTGAAGTTGTTAGAACCTTGTATTGAACGCCAATGACTCTAGGTGAACATGACAGATGTTGCGAGATAGAGTCAAATAATATGCAGGTTCAAGTTATGTCCGCCCTCTGAATTCCTCTTCATGTCCAGCCTGAAATTACATGTAGTCACACGAACCGGAGCGTATATCTCCTGCCTTGGTTAAGAATAGCTATCGTAGAAAATCATGATAGACTCTAATGATGCCCCATTCAAATCAGGTACAGCCTTGGAAGGTTCGGGCAGCATCCTCCTGATATCTCGTGGTAATGATAAGCCCATCTCATCAGACCCGAAGGAACCCAGACACAAGACCGATCGACATCAATGGCCCAGACCGCTGAGATATTCTCGATCCCACAACAGAAGATAGAAAATGACACGTGAATCTAGACGCCTCATGATCATGGCTCCTCCCGTCTCGATGTCACATCACGCATCAGCTCACGAAAGCCAAGCGTGTGTTCCCCGGCTAACCCGCAATACCAGCACCTCACCTCACCCATCAACCGTCGGCCGAGCCATTGTTCCACAAAACTCGCATCATCGAGAGACGATCCCTGGCTCTTCCCCTCTCTTCACAGGCCAATGTAAGTGAAGGACCGCGAAATAGAAGGATTTCTGGAGACTGAAGTGGATGAAGCAAAGGGTGCAAAAGGTCTAGACAACGGGACGATCACTGGCGTCATTCAAGCCCTCCACATCATCCAAGTTCAGGGTCCTTTTCAGAGCGGGCAGCAAATCGAGAGGGTGTGTTTGGATGGAAGAGGGATCAGCACCGCTTCACACCCTCTCACGCAACCCATCTGTACGTTATGGCTGCAGTTGATATGATAAGCAACGCAGAAGCGCCTCATTGAACCCTGAAACGTCTTCTTGCAGGGCTGGCGCAGGTGTCTGTCTTGTGCAGCATATGAGAGGTCAATCGCTTGGGTATCAATCTCACACCCACTGGCAATGAGCGAGGTCGCAGTACACCGACACCGGTCCGTCTGCATCAGACAGCTTCTGGTCTAGGAAGGAAATTATGCCACTTAAAACAGCGATTGAGCGAGGCTGGATAGGGAGCACCCTCAAAATAGGATGATATTTCCCGACCCTCCATCTCAAAGGTCTTGACCATCGTCCGAGATGCACAGAATATTGTTGGGGCCGTCATTATCGCGGTACGGGGCGAGATGTTACGGATTCCATGCAGACCGTGGATCCATCGCGCGTTGTAGTGGCACGGTTGATAATATGACTGTTGATGTTGGTGGGCGTCCAATCTCGGCGTGATATTTGACAACATCATTAGCAAAAAGCTAACGTAACGGCGAAAGTCCGGAGCGAAGTCCACAAAGCATTGTTCTCTCCGATAACGCAAGGACGGTGATGGGCAGAAAAAGACGCGCACAGCCTCGCGCGAACCTTGCCGCCACCCGGCCGAGCGAGCCACACACAAACACAGAGAGAGAAGAAATACACGCACTCACACGCAGGAGAAGGGGCTGAAGGACAAGGTGGTCGGGGATTTTACAGACCAGCCAGGCAAGCAGACCCAGCCCCTACAGCATCTAGGGACCCTGCCAACGCCGCAGATTATCACACTTACCGACCTCGTTTTCGCCATGTCAGCCCCATGCAAACGCACTGAAGCTCACTGAAGCTTCTTCTGCTTTATCAGTCTAAGTCTGTGCCGCTCCTCATCTCCACTGGCGCTGGCAGCGGACGCCTCTCCAGGGCAGGTCCCTTTCAAGTTTCCCAACAACAACAACGCAGCACACGTACACGTATGCACAGAATCCACAGAGGCGAGTTTGACATGTCTTGTTCCAAGGCAAAGGCAAACTAGTGTGGGAGACGTGCGGCGCCATCGTGCTTCGTCGGAGTGATGTTTGAACGCCGGCGGCTCTGTGGTGCTCCACATCGGTCTGATATGATGGATGAGGAATGATTATGTGATGATGGCCCGTTCGTCTTCCCATCGTTTAGCCTCAACATGATGTGATCGAAGCAGCAGCAGCAGTAGTAAAGTGGAAACCCAAAGCAATGACAAAAGAACTGGGTCTTGCGGGGGTTGGGTTCGGTGTTCGTGGGCTTGTGGGCTGGTGGCCCTCTCCCTTGCGCGAACACCCTCGACCGCCTGGACCTTCTCCAGAACTGAGCTGAGCTGAGCTGCACGACGGCCGCTGCTTTGCGGAGACGGGAAGGGGACTTTGAGGGGAAAGATTGTCCATCGATCAGCGTGAGTCTAAATCTCTCTGGGGAACAAACGCAAAACGGCGACTGGGGCTGGATTCATCAGAGACATGAATCTCCACAGATAAGCAGAATGGCTTTCTTTCGTCTGGCGTCTCACCCTCGAAATCTAGGGAGTAGATCCCGATTCCCGTTCATCGAAGGCAGACAAAAGCAGCAGCGGCTCATCCGCTGTTCTCAGCGATGCGGCGGACGCCGGGGGGGAGGGGGTGGAGAAACATGGGAGGAAGACGTCAATAAGTCCGTTCGCCATTATCCTCAGACCTCCAACGAACCACGGAATCCACATTAAATCCGCATTGCATATACTGTCTATTTCGAATTCGTACGTCCATCGTGTTGAGCGTATCAGAAGCATCGAAAGACCTGGGCAAAAAGCGTCAATATTACCTGTGCCGCTCATCCACCCCCGGCTGCCCCTCGTTCCCGCGCTTAACAGCCCACATCCGCAGACAAGCCAGACACTGGGACCGACCCATCTGCTGGGTCTCGTTAACCGTGAGTTCGACATCTGCAAGTGAGCCTCGAAGGGGGAAGAGAAGAGCCTCCTCGCATCTTGACAGTAGCAGACCGACGGTCTAGAGCGTGGTCCATCGAATCCTTCACCCCCTCCTTCACCTCACTCACCTCCTCTCATAGTGTTACGGCCAACGCTCACCGGCCCGTGTAGCTCTTGGCCAAGGGCCTCTCCGTCTGATTCACGGGCAACTCGAGCGCACCACCCGCTCAGTGATCGACAGTGTCGGCTTTGGTTGTCAGATTTGGCGCATCTAACGGACAGCTCCAGGTGCTGCAAAGCTTACGAACGAGGCGAGCTTCAGCCAACGTTTGTTTGACAAGGTTGAGTTTGTTTGCTTGAGGCGGTAGGTCTCGCCGGTATAGTCGGGGCGGAGGACCGTTGCCGGCAAGTACAATTCCCGTCGCCATCGCCTTTGAATTTTTCACCACACCAAAACACAGAAACAGTAAGATTCAACGTCTATCAAACCCGATTTCTGCTCAAGACAACTCAAACCCCCTCCAGAAGACTTGAACCCCTCTTCTGTTGCCTTGTTTACATATGCAACTGTAAATGTAGCTGCCAATCTCTCAACACAGCGCTCTTTAGGAACCTCTAAACAGTTCTCATGTTCGCATATCCCAAGAATCGTGCAGTGGCTCATTCGTCATTCACACGCCTGGCCCCCCTTAGTAGAGGCGAAAAAAAAAAAATTCTCTGCAAGTAATTGGCAGGGGTCGACATTAACCTGCAGTCCCAACTATCCGATACTGTCTCACCATATGTGCCTCGCTGAAATGCTCTCTCTTACATCTTCCGAACCCTGGATCTGAATAATCCCGACCATCGGCTTCTGAGCCTCGAAGGGGTGGTCTTGCATGCCATGGATTGGTCGAATAACCACTCGACTCATCTCATCCTCGTTCCCGTTGCCGCTGGCGGGCTTCGTTCCGAGTCCCGACTCCCATCACCGTTGTCGTCGGCATCGCGATGTGATTTATTGTTGGGGGTTCCTCATCCGCTTTTTACATGTTTGACATCCGCAAGTGGCCTGGATCTCCGCGAACCCCGGTCTACGTGATGTGCTTCGGAGGATTTCACGCGTCAATTCATGCCTCAAGGACATGCGAACTGGTCGTCCCCATCGGAGCCCACACATC